CTACACATTAAGTTAAAATGTGTCGCATGTGTCGTGGTTTACGATACAATGCACGACACGTGGTGCTCGTTGCGACACATTTTGTCCAGCAAGAGCACGACACATTTCGTACGACACATGCGACACATTTTTTTATTGGTTCTTCTGAAAACGCATACTATGAATTTTTTTCAATTTAATTCCATTATAATTATTTCTGTTCTGAAAACGCAAGCAGGTCACAGCTTGAGATCTTTCCAGCCTCGAGCTGGTCCGATCTCTGTTAGACCGGTTTAGGGTAGCCCTCTCTCGAATATTGGTTGAGAGTAGCATTTTCTCGACTAATAAATTATCGAGAAATAATCTAAAAAAAAAGTTATTGTGGAAATATTTATCTTTCTTACATTCAACCGTGTTGCTTATATATGGCTGTGCGTGCATAACAAAAACAGTGAATGAATAGTGAACAACTAGAACGTGACAAATTCGTATACAACACATTCTAAGCACGGCACATTGTTATGCTGGGATGCACGACACAATAACTCACGACATATAAATGCGACACATTTTATGTTAGAGTGTACTGCAATTTAGTCACGCCCTCATTCTCACGCTGACTGCTGCGTTCAATGTACTAATCAGTATAAGGGTGTGACTAAACTGCAGAAGGACCTACGATTGAAGCTTTGAATATTCATTGGTTTCTTTTTGTAGAATCAAACAGATAGTGAATTACCAGAAGAAAAAATCAAACGATTAGAACAAGAAAATGCATCACAAGCGACAATAATTGAAGAATTGCGTGAATAGAACGAAAAGTATCTTAATACGATTGAATGGATGCAAAAAAAAATGCAACAACTTGAAGACGATCTTAATCATACAAAAGCAAAAATATCTGAACTCAACTCGCCCAAGTCAACGCGAACGGTTAGAGAACGCGTTCAGAACAAGTAGTTCGGGGCGCGTTCGGCATGACTTTCGGCTTCATCGCGAACATGTTCGATGGCGTTCTGTAAACGTTCGCCTCGGTCTGGGCGTCTAATTCGTCGAATTGTGCACCTCCATTGGTTAAGAAGTAATATTTATTGAAAAATGACAAATTCAATCTGTTCAATTGCGTTTTTTTTGTGTTCCCACTATGTATATATATGTACATTAAGTGGTTTTTTTCTCTATTGATATGTACATTAGGTGGTTTTTCTTTTTTTTATTGATATGTATATTAGATGCTTTTTCGTTTTTTGTATTGATATGAAAAAGATATATCAAAAAGAAGAAATAGAATAGAAACTGTAATATTACTGATATGGGAACGAACAATATTCCATTGTTGTTTGATTATTTATGGTGTGGAGGTGAATAACAAGAATACCCATATACTTATACTTTAAAAACGTCGTTTACTTTGCTTACTTGACTAGCTTGCAAATGTAACAAAATAGATATTCATTGGTTACAAAAAAAAGTAAAGGCTATCCTTAAATTTGACAATTAAAATTTATTTATTTTTCATTCAAAATAAAATGATCGCCAGACACAAAAAAAATCAATCAGGAAGAAATACAAGTCTATGTACAAATATAAGCAAAAAAGAAAGAAGAAGTTCTCATGGATTAATACGACGTTGATGTAATTGTTTATTTTTATTTGTTATTGGTAATAATGCAGATGATTTTTTAATACATACACCAAATGTTATATTCCAAAAAGCCATACGAAATTGTTTTGAACAATAAGCATATATAAATGGATTAATAACTGAATTAAAATAACCAAGCCATGTTATTAATGTTACTGTATGATCATTTAATGAATGTTTTTCTGCTGGTATAACATACATGATAAAGAAAGGTAACCAAAGAATAATAAAACCACCGACAACAACAGCTAATGTTTTTGCTGTTTTTTGTTCTTTCATAAAACGAATACGTTCACGACGATGAACATCACCTGGTGTATTATTATTACGTACACTTGTACGTATTAAATTTGATGATTGACCTGATAGATATATTGGTGTACGATTTGTCATATCATTTGATGAAATTTTATCCTCATCATCATCTTCATCATTTGTTAACGAATAACTTGGTGTTGCTGTAAATGTTTGTTTTGGTCTATTTTGATATGAATTATAATTAATTGATGATGAAGAAAAACAACAACAACAACATAATGAATTATTTTGATTAAGATTATTTTCATTTAAATTATTATTGTTATTATTATTATTATTATTATTATTATTATTATTATTTCGACTAATATAATAACGTATTAATGAAGAAAAAGATTTTGGTGGTTGTATTGGTGAATTATTTGTTAATCTATATTGTTGTTGTTGTTGTTGTTTACTATTTTCAATTGATGATGCTGATGGTGAAGTTGTTATTAAACGTGAAGATTTTATTCGACGATTTATACGTGTTGGTTCAGGTAAAGATTGTTTTTGTCTAATAAAATATGAAGATGTTGAATGATTTGAAAGATTTATTTGCATTATTGAAGGATTTGTTGTTGATCGTGTTCTCATTGGTATTGAAGTTATTTGTTGCATACTATTTTTTTTATATCTATGTGTATTTTTTTTTATTGATAATTGTGTTAGTTCATTTAATGATTGACTTGTTTGATTTAAATTTTCATTTATTGATGAAAATAAATGATGAGCATTATTTTCTTGAATTGGTAATATTAATTGTTCAATTTCATTCTAAAAACAAAGAAAACTTTTTATTTTTTGTACTTTTCGTTCATTTTGGGGATAAACATAATTTCAAATATAGATAACGACAAAAAAACAATGTTCTAGAAAAACTATATCATAAAAATTAATTTCTATTGTATCATATAATTGCATACGGAAGCAGCATTTATCTTTATCTTTTTTTTAATTTTCCGGCCTATGTCGTACTCATTGATCGAGTACAATTATATCTTAGTGTTCTACTTTTTTTCTCAAGAATAAATGGAATAAATCGGTAGCTATTTCTGTTTCCGGTAATCTAAAAGGACAAGAGAACGAATAGTTATCATATTGCTCTAATAAGTAATTTCTACTCTATATTCATTGCCTAAAGACAGTTTCATGATTATTTCATATTGACTAGAATGTTGCAAAAGATCAAGAAAACGGTAGAAATCAAAAAGAATTGAATAAGATTTTTCTCAAAAAAACTTATCATTCTATATTACTTTTGATTTAATACAAATATCTTTTATTTCTGATGACATTGCCATGTTCAAAAAGCCAAATAAGATTTAGTTATTAAATGAGATTTTATTCATATATATATATTCTTCATCCGTTTTTTGAGTTGCTAAATGACATCAAATCTTATGTCAAGTTTTTTTTTTCTCAGATATAAAACTCATACATTTGATTATCGGACTTACACACAATACATGAACTTATAATAGATTAAAAATATCTAAATCTTTGATTGTCACTCTATAAATATTCAATAAAATTAATTAAAAATTACTTCATCTAAAACGAAATGACAATTTTTTGTTTTCAATTTATTTTTTCTATATTTTGAAAAAATAAGACACGTATATTGTGCATGACAGTTGTCAATTTCAATGAACACTACTTGATCTTTTTCTATAGTCTCAACTTATAACTTTGAGCACAAAACAGATTTAATAGAGAAGGAAATATATGTCATCATGTAATAAATGTTATTTGTCGAGAGATTCGAATTGATTATTGTATCTACTTTTATTCATGTGAAATAACAAAAAATTTAAATTCTAGAAAACATTCTTACGTTTTGTTTCCTTGTATCTTTAGTGTTTGTTGTTGGTGTTGAAATAGCAGCAGCGGCAGCCACAGCTGCTGCTTTTAATTGTCGACTATGACTTAATTCTGTATTTAAATCACGTATTTTACTTGTTGTTGAATGTTCAAATGAACGTGAACGACGTTTAGTTAATGGTGATAAAGATGTTTCATATGTTTTTAATTCATAACATGATTCATCATCTTTACGAAATTGATATTCCGGATTAATATGTGTTAAATAATTCGATCGATATTGATAAATATCATCGGATGTATTACTTAATTTTTGTGTTGAATTTTTACATGAATGTGAATAAATTGATGTTTTTGAACTTGATCGTCGTTGATGTATGGGTGAATTTGTATTCTGATTTTGATTGTTATTATTTGTAAAACGATATACAAGATAACCATTTTGTTTTTGTTCAATAGTTGGACAATGATTATATGTAAAATGAGGTATTGATGTTCTTGATGATAAATTTTCTTGTGATCGTTTTCGACAACAAAAACAACACCATGAAGAAAATTTTTTATCTTGTTTTTTATTATTATTTGACATATGTCTATTAGTTATAAAACTATTAGGATTTGATTTTATTGATATATTTGATGATCGAATATTATTATTATTATTATTATTATTATTATCATCGCGAAATTTTTTTATTAAATTTTCACGATCATAAACAACCATAAATATACGTATATAAACAAATATCATCACAACACCTGGAATATAAAATGAACCAAGTGCTGAATAAACAACATAACCTCGTGCTGTATTTAAGTCGCATTTATATTCTTGTTCGACCTAGAGTTATAAATAACAAAACTAACTTTTCATGTCTGTTCAATAAAATCATTTATGCATACGAATTTTTTTCAAGGAAGTATGCCATTCAAATAAGAGAAAACAAAATAATAAAGTATTCTTACCTTTTGTCGCCTATTTTTATCTCGCCAACCGAATATCGGTGGACATGTTATAACGACTGAAACGATCCATACTAATAAAATCATAACACGAGCAAGAAATTTCGATCTATATGCTGTATATGTTAATGGTTTTGTTATAGCCATATACCGATCCACGGAAATACAAGTTAAATTAAGTATACTCGATGTACATAAAAGAACATCTGATGATACCCATAAATCACATAAAATTAAACCAAGTTTCCATGAACGATCACGTTGATAACAATAAATACTTAGTGGAAGAACAAATATTGCAACTAAAGCATCAGCAAAAGCTAATGATGCTATAAAATAATTAGTTACTGTTTGTAAACGACGTGTACGAAAAAAAGCACATATTACAAGTAAATTGCCAAGAAATGCACTTATATCGATTAATATCATGCATGTTAAAGTTACTATTCGAAACCACACAGGCATTGTTGATGCTGTTGTTGTTGTTGTTGTTGTTGTTGCATTAATGTTAAATGTAACATTAGAAAAATCGACATATGATGCAGATGTTAGGGTACCCATGATAATCATTCATGATGCATATCTTAAAATTTAACTAAATGAATTTTTTTTCTGTCAAAAATAATGTAGAATGACAAAAAAGAAATTGATCATCTTTAGGGCATATCAAAAAAAGCAAAGTGACGACAACTATAATAACTCTTTCTTACGTTTGTCTCCTCATGTCTTTTCTTTTTCTGAGACGTCACTGAATTAATCCTCAATTCTCATTCTTGCTCTAGGAAAAAAAAAGTCACACTATAATTATATATTCTTCTCTCATTCTAGCTATCATAATATCGTCAATAACTAAAAGCATTGTTGAATAGTATGATTTTATTTTCAGTCTCTATCACCTTTTATCATTCAAGAATCTATTGGATATTGCTTTCATCAAATGATCGTCTCTAACTACTTATTATAAGAAAAGAAAAAAAATATTATATGTTAAGAAAACAAGAAAGTGTAGGATAATAAGATCGACAATCCTATCATCATGGTATACAAGAAAATCTTTAGTCACAAATAGTGTTGCATATAACAGAAGGCTTGCAAATAAGACATCATCATCATTATCACCAATGGTTTTTTTTTTATTATGCTTTTATTGAATTTATTGTGCCATACGAAAGCATTGACAACGAATTTCTACTAAAGCAAGATAAGAATACCAAATGAGAAATAAACGAATTTTCTTACAATAGAATCATATAATACAACAAAAGAAAGGCAGGAGGTAAACTAATTCATTATAGCTCCTAGCTGAGTACACGGATACTGTTTTTTGTCTATGAAAGAATAAGAGTGAATCAATGTTTTATGACATATATGTGTCAACTATTTGTCTCTCTCTCTGTCTCGATTAAAGATCATGTTATTGACTTTTATAAGGAAACGAATACATTTGAAAATATTCTCACATTTGATCTCATAGACAATTAGCTTACTATTATGTAAACATAAAAATTAAGAGAGATGAACAAGTATTATATTCTTATTCATATAATAAACTCTAAAAAACAAAATCAATCTATTGACTATTCCATCAATAAACATATTAGAAATTTTATATGAGAAAACTTTATTATAGTTGTAGTTCTTCGTTCTCTTATAAAAACATAGATAAAACTAGTTGCTCAATTTCTATGACAAGCAAATAGATTCGCTGTGTTATTATGTTCAATATAGAACGGAAATTCCGAATGCTTTTTGTTTGGTATCAATAATAGGTAAGCATGCAAAGTTATTATCGATAATGAAGCTGCTTTTTTTATTTCAAATGAGTACTCGTTAGTGATAAAGAAGAAAAGAATTAGAAGCATAGAAACAAAATAAAAGCATTATAGTCGCATAAACAACGCAAAGTCGAATTATTCATCGATCTTTTTCTGTTTTTTTTTCTAATACTTATATCAACATCGAATTAGCAATAGCATGCACCGATGCTTTACAATACACTCTATTGGTTACAAATTGACATCGTGCATTCCATTTTAAAAAAGACCTAATCTAATAAAATATGAACAATGTGACATTCAAGGTTAATAGACAACATGTGGATATATGATGAAATTTTTTTTTTTGTTAAACATAAAGTTTTTCTTCAATCTTAATTGAACGAAATCAAACAAAAACCTAGACAATAGTACGTAAAATAGATATGAGTTTTATTTTATCGCTTTACATATAGATATAATTAAAATATGTTTATAATACGACGATGATTACATTTATCGGTATTGTAGATTTTTCTGTAGACAAAAAAAGTACACTATACATATGACATTAATCCAATTTAATGTATTTTCAACCCATCTCATGTTACATCTTTTAATTGAACTCTTCAGACAATAACAAGCATATTCATAGTAGAATAGAAAAAAAAAAGAAAGTGGCCTTATAATAGACATGTTGCGCTTTTCTACTGAAATTCTTTCATGCGATCTTATCTTCTGGAAATTCCATGAGACAATCATGTTCGCATGAGCAGGTACACTTATTTTTTATTTTATACTGATTATTTTTTTTTATTGGTTTACGAAATAAATATGTTCTTCTTTGATTATTATAAATGATGATAAGATCAAAGAAGAAAAAAAAATATTGGAAAACAATTTTTTTCAATTAATTTAAAACATTTCTATTGGTAAAACAAAAGAATGAGATTATATCTGATGATTGAAATCTTTATGCAAGATTTCTTATTGTTCGCTAGCAAATAATAATAGAAGTACTTTTGACTCTATGTAAAAAAATTGTTAAATATAGTCTAATATGCAAGAGTGTCTCGAGATTACCAGGGTTAGAGATTGATGATCTAGGAAGTCGATTAGAAGATTTTTGCTAAAAGTGACCGGCTTTGGGAGGATTTGAGCGTTTTGGTTTTGGGGAACTGATAATTAAAAAAAAAGTAATAAAACACTGAAACTCTGCTAAAGAAAAATGGAAATTTTTCAAGATTGTAAGGTCATCTGCTCGGGACATTCCTGCTTATATGGATGCTATGCTTGACTAATTCTCATACGAACAAAACCAACATGTCATCTTATTCTTATAATTTTCATAAAAGTATTGCTAAACTATGCTGCATGCTTTTCCATATGTTATGCAAGAATTGACTATAATAAGCACAATGCTAAAGGTATGTCATTTAATAAAAGATAATATTATAGAGCTTTTTGCTTTTAGCAATGAATTTCTACTTTATCAACATATAATGTTCATCAGTATTTTAATTCTACTAGTTATGATTTTCAATAACGATCTGAAGAATTGATATAACTTTAATCATAGAATAGAAAAAAAAAAAGAAAACGTTTTGTTTCTTACAAACTCTTGAATAATATTAAGTCTTATGAGAATGGTACGAAACTGAAATATGATTGTATATAGTTGAAGACTACTAAAGAAATTTCTAAAATAATTTAAAAAGAAGTATTAAAAAACCCAAATAAAAGTTCCATCAAGTAGATCTTCAACTTTTTTTCTGTGATAATTAAAAATTTTATCGTGATGCCTATATTATTAATTCATTGCATGAATATATTTTATCTTGTTTTTAATTTTTTCAAAGAAATTAGGTAGATTAGAAAAAGAATTTGAATTAGTTTAAGTTATTTTTAAAAAAATCAAAATATATTAGAATTAAAAATAATATTGTCTAGATAAAATTTTAATAAAATAATAATCAATTTTAAAAGGATTTGTGTCCTCAAATAATATATTAAATATATTCCAGTTTTCTTTTTTTTTTTTTCTTTACTTACGTAGAGAAAAGAACTTCATGATTAAACGCTGTGGTTGACAGTCTTCTTAAAACACTTCTACTGACATTTCTAGTTGAACACATTTAAAGAAAGTGGCTTCGTTAGTTTTTTTCTTCTTCCTCTTTTTTATCTCTTTTATTTTATTGAGCAAACGAGAAGAGAAAAATGACTAGCATCGTCAAATTGTCACCAAACTCCTATAACCAAATAAGAAACTGTTAAAACATATTTTTAACTGAGATAGACAATATCATTTTCTTACCTGAATGATTTTTTAGTGTCACAAGCACCTGCTCTATTTAACAAGAAAAATATCAGTTGACTTTATCTTACAAGTGAATACTATTGAGAGTGATGTGTGTGATTATGTGATATAAGAAGAAAAAAAAATCACGACAAAAGGAAAGACAGTAACAAGGGAAATTAACATGAAAATAGAGAAAATTGCGCCAGCTTATATGATTGACAACGGCACAAGGCGTGGTTATATAAACATCATGTTGTCTGTTGCTTGTCACCAAATATAGATGATAATAAGAGAAAATGAAGACGAACAAACAATTTTTTTTTCAGATTATACTTATGTATATATATATATATAGATAAGTTAGCAAGTGAATCTTCTTTGATTTTTGGTATATTGTTACAAAATTGAATATGTCCTTGATTTACAAAGAAAAAAAAAGAAAAGGAAAATAAGAAGCCTTATTAGAAATAGTATATTCATACATTGAAATGACTATTTAATACTAATATTTATTGACATTCATCAATGAAATCAATCTACTTTTAAGCTTCAGAAAAAATTTATCAATAGGATCAGAGAGTGACTTTTTTTTTAATTATTTCATGTTGATAGCTAATCATCATTCCCTTTCTTGTTTAGCACACAATAAGTTTTGCCAAAGAGCGAGAAAAAAACAAAAAAGAAATCCAGAGCAAATCTTTCATCACTGAGACGAGTATCAATTTTTGTCTTGTTCGGCCCGTTAATATTTTGTCAACCTAATCAAGTCATACGCCTGATAACTTAATTCGACAGCTGGCTACAAATGAGAACTCTGCTTTTTTTCTCCGGTTTTCTCTGTTTGATATATACAGACACAAGTTGTATGCAAAGGTCAAGTTAGCTATAAAATAATCGATTCCATCAATAATCTCATGATAACATTTGTGTACATAGAAAATAATCGCTTTATTTATTTAAACATTCAAAGAGAGACATTGAAAATTGATAACATATGCTAAGAGAAAAAAAAAAGGAAAAAAACATGAAAATCTGACATTTTATGTTGTGTATACATATTATTGGTTTAAAGAATTATTTTTGTTTTCATCTTAAATGTATAAAAAAAAATGATAATACGGTAATTAAATATAGACTTTTTGTCGTTTTGATACTGGAGATTCATCGATAATATTTAGTTCAATACCACTATCATGTTCTGACATTATGGACTAAAAAGTAAACATTTTTAGTAAAAAAAAGAAATATTAATTGATGAAATTAATCATAAACATACATTAAAAATATTTGTTAAATATTCACATTGTTCACTTTTACGTTGTAATTGTTCATTTTCTTTAGTTAATTCATCAAGTAATTCATGAAGCTAGGAAGAAAAATAAATATTGGTCTTCGTGTTCCTTTTTTTCATATTTATTTTCTATGTAAAATACTTGTTGGTTTTCTTGTAATTGATCTTCAAGTTTTATACGAGAACGTTCAGCTAATATTCTCCAATAACAATCTGACGCGTGAACTATAATATAAAAATTAAAAAATCGTATTTTTTAAAATAATCTGATTAACAAAAAAAAAAGAAAAGCTTTATATTTTCTATTCAAGCAAAAGAAACAAAAGAGGATCCTATTACATGAGAATATTTAATTCATAAAATAATCTCTTTGATCAGAATAGAGTGAATCTAACAGAAGTGATTATTATAATATGTAAAAATTATTTTGAATAGAATTTTTATGCAAAGCAAAATATGATATGCTACGAAGAGACATTCAAATATTAATAAATAAATAAATAAACCACAACCATAGACCTGTGTATAATCATAACCTATCGAATTAAGCATTCTTTAATAAAAATCTAATATTTATTTTTGAATTAAATATGATTAATGAGAATTCATAGACTAAGAAGCAATAACTTCTATATTTGATTAGTATTAAAAGACAACCATTGGTTTGTTGGTATAATTTCATATGGGTATTTATTTGAAAAATAAAAGATTGACTACCTTTTCTTTTTATGTCAAAATTTAAAATGAAAATAAAAATTCTACCTATAATAATTTATTTCTAACATTTATTCGTTGCCTATTGTAAAAACTTGTTAAAATCGAAAATCAAATAAATATTAACAATAAACATGTTGATAGAAAATAAGATAGAATCATCAAAATAAACAAACTATGAAATGTTTTTTGTATCAACATAGTAGTTCGTTGGCCGTAGAAACATTGAAAAGTGCTTGAGAAAATTCTGACTATCAAGACATCTTCTTTATTATATGAAAATAATACTAACATTCTAACAGAGATTATACACAAGTCAACAGAGGCAAAAGCTTTTCAAGAAACTCGCACGCTTCAAGAATATCCAGTAACTGTAAATTTCCAATATTTGGTAGTTGTTTCACTTTGAAAATATAATTATCCAATAGCAATAAAGGTCTTTCTTTGTTATGAATTAATGAAATAAGTGACGATAATGGCTGGTCGACATCTGGTGAAGATAAAACAGCTTCGATCATGATGATTGACTTTTAGGAGTAGAGTAGTTATTTCTTCGAGTATTTTAATTAATCTCTAATAAGTATTATTCATCATTATTGCCTCTGAATGAAAAAAGCAATAATAAACTATAGATATCGAGAATCAGCATTTGCTATATATATCACTTTTGTTTTTCGATATTTTTCCTTTCAATCATTCTATATCACGCCTGAAGGTTTATTTTCCATGATGAAAATTTATTATTAAGTTTTATCTTTCGTAATTTATAAGATAACATTTTTTTCCGAAACACAATAAAATGAGGATAGTTCTCATATTTTATCTACGTGATCAAACTCCATTCAGAATAATTTTGCAACTTTTATATAATTAGAATAAAAAATTTACTCAGAAATGCTTTCTCTCTCATACCCTGTAATTTCATAGAAAGTATTATATATCAAATGACTTCCTTGCAATGTTTTATTCCGTGTGAGAGCCGAAGAGGCGGTATCGCTTTGAGGATCAGTTTCACTCTTCCGGTGTTTGTATATGTCTATGCTTCTAAAAATAGACGTTCTCACAAAATTATAAATAGCGTCTCTGAAAGAGAAAGTCTACATACAACACTGAATTCCTTCTACATAATGTGGATCTTTTTCAAAATGAATACAAAAGTATAAACTCGTAAAATATATATTGACTTGTCTAATATCTGTTTTCTATGCTACATTGTTCTCTAGACTATCTTATTTCAATATAAATATAATTAAAATGCACCTGACATGTCGATATTACGCAAATCATTTTCTATTAAATATTAATCTCAAGTAATTATTTTTTATTCTATGATGTCTCAAGAAACAAAAAGAATTCATTTTATTTACTTTTAACAAATTTTTCAAATTCCTTATCATTCATATTTTTTCCTTGTATTATAATATTATCGATATAGTTCGGTGTATTTGTACTTTTTGAATATTTTTCGATTATATCTGTCTGCATGCACACGGATTGTTTCTTTGATTGTAATACAATTGAATTCAGTGAGCATAAATTATTTTTTGATGGAGTCGATGTTCTTTTAAGCATCATTAACGAATAATAAAATCTTTAAAAAAAAAAAGAATTGTTATTTATGATGTGTATAGATTTTTACAAAAAAGAAAAAAAGAAAGAAATGAAGTGTTTTATTTTAGTTATATAATGAGGTATGCATATATGCAAAAGACAAATAACACATGCACCAAAAAGCTTTGATAAATGAAAGAAGCGAATCTAAGAAAAGAAAAACAATCAGATCTAAAGATGAATTGAGATATTTTTGATCCATTCTCTTTGAGAGAAAAAATAATATTTTACTGAATAAACTATGTTGATTATTAAAAATCTTTTTGTTTTTTTCTTATTCAGTTGGTCTTGTACGGTTAAGTGCTGATTGTAATTCACCTGTAAAATTAGCTTGTAATCGAACACGATTTTGAAAATTTTCTACATTTCTTAAACTATTTAAAATATCTTTTGTTTTACCAAAATAAATTGAATTAAGTGTTTGTCGAATTTTATTTTCCATTTCTTCAACCATTTTTCCAATATTAATTATATGTTGAGAAAAATCCGTTATTTGATGATCAGCTTCAAGTTGTCGTGTTAAACTTCCACCTAAATTCATCATACCTGACATTGTTTTATGTGTTTGTAACCAAAGCATAACTGTTGATGTTAATTTATAATGTGCTGTTCGACCACTTTGTTTTTCTTGTACTTCAATAACATGAATTGAATCCCAACAACCTTTTATTTTTTTACTGCCATCACCAACTTTTTTTATAAGTACAACACCAGCAAAACCATTTTCAAGATCCCAAAAATAAACCGATGAAACACCACCTTCAAAATACATTTCACGATATTGTTCAAATGCTTGATTTGCTTCGATTTCTAAATGACGAAGTCGATCGGACGGAAGATTTCCTATTAGCAAAAAAAAAAAGAAATCTACATGTCTTCATTTTTCAATATTAAATACATCAGACATTTTTTTTTTCTAATATCAATGTGATTACTCAATTTAGAAAATAGAATGATAAGATATAATATATTTCTAATTGATAGAAATAGTAAATTTCTTCAAAATTATGATAGCTCAAGGTTTAAATCTGAACTATTTGATGATCCGTGAGTCTTATTGATGATGAAAAACAAAATGTTGCCCTGACCTCATTGTTGCGTTAATTAATAGATATGAAATTCGGCAACACCCTACAGAAATGTTGTTACTTTTTTTGAAGGTCTCATCCCTATACTTTAGTGTTAATGAAAGAATATTCTGGATTCATCGGACAGAGTATAACGCCTTTTTATAGAAAATATCCGCTGATATGAAATAGAGCATTTTCGTAGGTGCCTGCACAACCTCATATCCATCAATTAACGCAATAATGATTCAGAACAAGTTCACTTTCTATCATTAATAAGACGCATTTGCCATCGAATAGTTCACATTTAAATCTAGAACAATTTATAATTTTCAAGAAATTTACTACTTCTATTAATTCGTAAAAAAGTTATATCAAAATATACTCTTATTAAATAACTAAAAGATGTACTCAAAAAAAAAACAGTTCTTTTTATCTTCGACTACTCGTTTGAAACGTATATCCTTGAAAATAAAATCCGAATCAACAAATATTAAAATACAGAAAGACCTCTTATTTCTGCAACACCCGTTAAAAATTAAGATGTCATACAAAAAGCGTTAACTCATTATGCAGTTGAATATTATCTGAAGAAACAAATCAGCTGTTAGTTAAGTATATTCATACGGAAGGATCATACATTGCACTGACAACATCAGAAATATTTTGTAACATCTGGAAAGAATTTCTTTGATTAATAATGTCTTGTATAAAATATGAAGCCGGACAGAGAATTCTTTCTATTCTTTATATCAAATTTTTATTTCGATTGAAAAATTTCTAATGAATTGATGTTCTTAATTCAAAAATTATTTCGAACAAAGTTTTATGTTGAGAAAATAAAAATAAAATATTTGGATGTATGTTTTTCCACTTATCTCTTCTAAAAAGAAATCGATGTTTTTCCTTTTTTTGAATACTCAAAATTTCTATTCATTTCGTTGAAATAATGGTTCCTTATTGTCTTTGTTTAGTCATCTTCATTCAATAATATCTAATCAAACAAACCATCAAAAGGTGGTGTATATGTATTCGTCCATGGTGATCGATATGAATCGCCATCACGATTATAATCACATAATAAATAATCTTTGCCAACAGTTCGATCACGAACAACTTTAAGTGGTTGATCAACAGCTGCTAAAAGTTCTTCAGTTAAATCAGGTACAAGATCAATTAGATCCGAGAGATTTTTTTCCACTTGTTGTGGTGGTAAACGTCTCATTAAATCGAGTGCACAATCTAATTGTGAATCGATTAATGTGTTTGATGTTGTTGTTGTACTAGTAGTCATCTGAAAAAAAAATTAATCAAGTTTTAGTGATACACACAAATACTTTCGAAGTCAATCAATTAAAAAGAACTGTTTCAAAAATATATCCTAATAAGGTATATCTAGTTGTTTTTTAAGATCAGTTTAGAGTAATTTTTAGTTGACATAATAGTTCTAATAAAGTAGAACAATTTTGACTCTGTGCACTCGATCACGACGACCTATAAATCATACTATAATATCTTTTTTGAGCTGAAAAAAGCTGTTAGCACTATCTCTGCGAGATTAAAATGTGAAACACGATGTAGTTAATCTTGCTAACAACAGGGGAATTGTTTTGATCTATTTATTTAAGGACATATTTCTTCAACGTCTGTTTACTGAACCTTCTAGAAATGCAATAAGAAAATAGTTCACGAGACGTTGTCCATCTACGGTCATGGATCATATATCAGTAACGTCTGTCATGCAGTAGCGGATCTAGAATCTTGGGAAAGTGATACTACCATGGTCATAAAATGTGTTGGCTCGTTTTTTAGGGTTTTCTGCTGAGAAAAGTTGAAAAATGTTTTAAATCGGGAGAGACGATCGCCCTCAGTATCCCTCTAAATCTACTAATGTTGTGATAGTCTCTAACTAGCGTCTGACACGATTTGTGGGGGATGGACAAATTTTCTCTCGTATATTTCAGTACTCCTTTTAGATTGTGTTTCATAATAAGACATCTATATCCTAAGATGAAGAATGATTCGATCAATAAAAGAAAATATTATTTTTTGAATAATAAAAATTTCTAACTTTCAAGTTAAATTCAATAGAGATTAAAGTGATAGAATAATTTATGTTTGATAATAATAAAATTCCAAGGACTTAATTTACATCAATAAAATTCTATAAAATCTGATCATTGTGTTGCCCATGATTATACTATTACTAATATCATTTTTTGAATCTAGAATATGAATTTTAATAATGAAAATAGATAAATTCGAATAATTATCTTTCGTATCACGAAATTCAAATGCTTCTTGGTTATTTAATTTTTGTTTTGCTGATTTACACACACACACAGGTAGAAAACGATATAGAAGAATTTTGTATTGAAACATTACATCTTTCAAGAAATTGAAAGACATATAAAAGAAAATATTTCGAATACCGTCATGAAAAACTACAAACAAGAGAGAAAAAAAATAGAAAAGAACACAGTTTCAACAACTACTGTGATCACAAAATCAATGGACAGCAAAAAAAACTTTTTTTTTAATGTACGTGTCTTAAAAAAACAATAATAGGAAAATAGAATTAATGTTGAATTTTTCTTTGCCTTTGTTTGTTTGTTTTTTTACTTATGAGTTTTAGGTATATTACGTAGCACCTGTGATGGAATAAATTTAAGAGCTGCTTTATTTGTCAAACCGGTTGAAGCCTGTTGCTGAAATTGCATTGTTGAAGATTCATGAGACATGAGAGGAATTGGTGGTAACTGACCTGGATCCATAGGTGGATTTTGCATTTGCATAGGAAATTGTTGTTGTTGTTGTTGTTGTTGTTCATAATTAAATGGTATCGAAGTCATTACAGATCCAGTAGGATAGTTAATGTATCCGCCTTGAGGATGCAAATTATATGATGGAAAAGGACTTCCATGATTGAATTCATTACGAATCAGTGGAGCATCATACATAAGATTGAATGGTTCCATACCAGGTGGAAAATGCGGGTAAGATAATGGTTGTTGAAATTGTGATGGTGTATACATTGATGATTGCTGTTCAAATGGATACATTGGAACTTGTGGCATATTTTCACTAGGTTCATTCATGACTGAAATAAAATAATGAAAAAATTTTTATAGTGAGAAGAGAATGGAATTACGTACATGGAGCTTGAATGTATTGAGGTTGTATAGGTTCCCACATTTGTTGAATAGGTATTTGTGGACCTGAAGTTTGAAATGGTGGTATTGCTGGAGTAGTTTCGAATGATGATTGATAATTTCCTAATTGTTCAGAATCTTGAATGGCATGAAACAATAAAGAATCCGGTGTTGCTGTTGGTATAGTAATATTCATTGGTGTAAGTGTTAGTTTTGGATCAGACGAATTTTCGATAAATAATGGAATTGATGAAGGATTTTCTATTGAAATAGAAGGTTGTTCTATTGATGGTACAGGAGATGTTGAATCATCTGTAATTGGTTTTTGTTCCTTGACTTGAGTAAAATTTGGGTTGTCATGTGTAGATAATGGTGGTGCTGATTTTGGTTTTGTTCTTGTATTCTCATTATCTGAATCTTTTTTTACAATATTCATAGGTTCGTGTTGTCGAACTGTTGATATTTGTTTATATGAATATCGGTCTTCTATATGACTCGGAGGTACAGATTGTTGATGTTGATAATTCATTGAACGAAATCGAAGTGAATGAGAATAATTAAGTAAATGATATGAATGAACTTTAATACGACATTTTTGTTGATTCTTACCAAGTAATATAGTATTGAGACAATTTGAAGGTAAATTATCAAATAATATTTCATAATATGTATCTAAATTTGTTCGACCATACATAATACCGATAACAGTACCACGTGTACCAATAGGTACTCCCGTGCCAGGACGAACATTAACAACACGATCAAATACAGAAAATGTTGTTCTAATATCTGGATCACACATACCAAATGATTCATTTGCTTTAAATAAATAATGTGGTTCAAAAGATACTAGTTTTGTTTTTTCATTTGGATGTTTTGCTGCACGTTTCTATGAATAAATGAAAAGATTTTTTTAAATATAATATATGTATTTATGAGTAGTTGCCTAATTCAATTTATAATATAAATAGAGCTCGAAAAAATCAAAAGCATCCTGTTATTAGTACATAATAATTTTCTTTTTCTAACTTCTAAATGATGTATATGATGAATAGGATAGAAATTTTATTATTTGATTGATTTTTAACTTAAGTGCTATTTAACTGTCGAAGTCAAGTTCGAATTGGAAACTAAAGATAGACATATGGTGTACACAAAGACCAGTATGGGTCACGGCTAGAGATGCGCGAGACTACGAGAAAAAAATTTTTTGTGACCGGACCTCCAATAGATGACCCAAAAAAGTGCTAGTCGTCGACTATCTCAATCAAACAGCGAGTACTTAAAAATTATTCTACATATAATGCGAATAAGTTTTGGAGTAGTTTTTTCTAGACCAGGATCGAAACTCGAAAAACTAAAATCACTGAGATCGGGACCAAAAGAAATATTTTTAACTGATGAATGTTTAAATGTTAATTATCTATGTTCGCCAGTATGACAATTGAAGTTTTCAGTATTCAAATCTGTATGGAATTTCTTGGCGTTTCGAGCGCTCAAAATGTTCTCTGTATGTGCTTGTTAACATAGCTTGGCAAACCTACATACCTAATTTAGAGAAAATAGAAGACTTGGTACTTAAACTACTGTAAGTTACTTAGCAGCACTTTGAGCTACATCTTCGCATGTTAGTTTATTCGAAAGAACTCCTCACTAGATACTTGTCTAATGATGAATCGAGAAAAAAAAGAAAACTTTTGTTCTTTTCGTAAATTTACAGTGAATTTATCGATATTTATAATTTTTTTGTAATAAATAATATGAATGAATACATTTATATTTTATTTTACTACTTATTTTTGAAATGATAATGAACTTCTGAAAGTATATTTATATTATAATTTGGATTAGACATCTCGAGAAATTTACTTCATAAAATGAATTGACAAATTTTTCTATTTCATTAACAACAGGTGTATCAAGTATTTCCCAAGCAGCACTTGTCAATGACATTGAATATGTTGGTAAATTTTTAATCCATGTACGAACTTGTTGTAATTCATGTTTTCTATAAAATAATCAAATTTTGAAATTATTAATAAAAATCAATTTAAATAAATACCCATTTTTTCCTGGCCAAATATTCGATTCTAAGTAATTATCTTTATTTGGTTTTCGTGTTAATTCTGCAATAATATCAGGAAATCTTAAAAAAGTAATATGAAGTAATTCGTTTTTTTTTATTTTGACTAAGAAAAACTAACTTTGAAATGTATTCAGATATGATACGTATTGCTTCAGTTGAATAATACCATATATCATTAAATTTCTTTGTGTAACCATGAAGCTAGAAATTAAATTAAATGATTATTGATTTTCCAAAATCAATGAAATAAATATTAAGTATTAACTGTCAGATATAGAAAATCAAGATCAGACTAAATAGATTTTGTTTTCAAAATTATTTTATGATAGTCTGAAATAAGTTCATGAAATTACACTCCACTCCTGATGATTTGCATTCATGCGACTTCGATTTAATCCTCGACAATCATTAAGTTACAAGATCTCATACCAAGTTCATCTATGAAAAACAAATTTTAATTCAATCATCTTGAATTATTCAAAAAAAAAGTGTTTCAATTATAGAGAATTATAACGAAAACACTTGATAGATCTCAATATGTAGAGCAAAAGTTGTCATAGATTCAAAATTCCTAGATAATTCCTTCAGGGAGATATGAGAGTCGTAATGGTCAAAACTTTTCCTCTTCCTGCAAAACTCTATACTTCATTTTTTCGAACTATAATTTTTTTATGACAATGAGGATCAAGTCGGAGTGTGTGTTGTTTTTTTATATCGCTCATAGGACTTAGGAGAAGCAAACTACTGGAATCACCGTCAAAAAACGTGTTTTTTTTTTCAATGATACTAATTTTGTAAAACCTGCCGAATTTCGTAGGAACAACATTTTGCAGAAGAAAAAAGAAGCACGCATTCCAATTTGATTAAAGTACTCAAAAACAAAAATATGAGCTCGATTAGGCATACCGTGTGGAAGAAAACTTCCCTTTTTTTTTTTATTCAACTATTGATTCTGAGAAAAACGCAAAATAAACGTTTCTATATGTATGAGGACTTTTTTCTTCAAATGACTGAAAACTGACCGTGCTAGAGGTCCATGACCAATGTTCTCCACATCTTTAGAAATTATCATTAGGAGATTTTCGCATACAAAGAATAATCGCAGTGCGAATTGGATTTAATAAAAGTACTAAGTAACAACAAAGAGTCTTTACGTATATGACATTTAATAAAGGACACGTCAAAGCTATACCAAAAAACGAAAAAATTTTGATTTTAACATCCAGAAACGGTGACCGCGAGTGTTCCTTTAAATTGAAGTATTATTTACCTGTTTAACAGGTTTATTAACCTTCCATGAAAATCCAATATTAGTTGGATTAGCTCTTCGCCGTCCTCTATTTCCTCCAATAACATTAATTTTTCCCGTTATTTTTGCTATAATACATGGTAATATATTTAATTGATTAGCTATACCTTGTGCTGTAAAATATTGTAATTGATGTGCAAGAAATTTAGATTTTGATTGATAAATATTCGGATGATCAATCATATCAGATGATTTCATTTCACATGAAATTAAATATTGTCCATGATTATCTTTATTTATATGTTGTACATAACCATTCGATGAATAATATGGTATTTTAAGTGCAAATATAGGATCATTTATTTTAAAATAATCATGTATTTTTTGTGGAAATTGATCAATATCATCTTTATAATTTGGTATTTTAAAAAGTGTTGTTTGTAATGGATAAGGTAATGCTTGATTTGAAAAACACATTATTGTTCGACATTTATCTGATGTTGATGAACATTTTGTTCGATAACCAATTAATGGACATACATAGAGTAAAATTGGTATTGGTCCAATTGAAATACCTCTTCGATTTTCATATATTCGATTAATATTAAGTGCTTTTTTATATTCTATTTGCTGTTCAATATTACTTAATCGATAAATATGATGATAAACTTTTCTATTATTATCATTTATTAATTCAAATGGAAAATCAGATACATAAATTGGTGTTTGCGTATAATTTTTATAATCTTGATTTTCTTCATTATTTGTTACTTCAAAATAAAAATTTGAACCACCAGGAATATTTGTCCATGTATATAAATGTTGAAAATCATTAATAGCACAAACAATACCATATTGAAAATGTGGCCAATTAACAAAAACACATTTACCTAAATAACGTTCCATTAATGTTTTATGATTTGTTATATGAAATGGTAAAGAAAATTTTTCATTTTTTGGATTCCATTCATTATTATATGTTATACAATCAGAATTAGATTGATGTATTAAATTTAATACAAGTGTTGTACCTTTTGAAGATGATTCAAATACGCTAACAGCATTATTTTTATAATCAAATTTATATGGTAAAACATTTAAAACAGGAAATTTAGGAAAAATAATCATATCTTTTTGTTCAAAACGACCATGTTTAATATGATGATTATCAAGAAGATAATAGTCAATTGGAAATTCTTGACATATTGCTCGAGTTTCTTTTAATGTTGGAAAATATGGATTTGTTCCTAATAAATTTCCTATTGGATTTAATATTGTTGTTGTTTTAAAACATAATGATGGTAAATGTTGATTAAGAATTTGTTCATTTGGATTAAGTTGATTATAATATTTTGTTATTGTATTTAAAAGAAGTTGTTCATCAATAAATGGAAGTAATACAATTGCTTCCCAATCTCGTTTTTTTTCATTTTGATCTAATTTAAAATCTTTAGGATAAAAATATAATAATGGACTGTTAGGATCAGTCATTAATGGTTGTAATTTAACTGGTAAAAGAGAACAACTTGTTGGTGGAAGAACACCTAGAAACAAAAAAGATAATTAGATTTTTAAATTAAACTTCAAAAATTTGTCCTTATTGGCACTGAACTGCAATTTACACTGATGAGAAAACATTCCCAAGTAATCCGTTCCATTTACCTCCATATATTGCTAATATATAGGAGATTATTGGAGTAGTGTAATCTCTAAAGATTTTCTTCTTGTGCTTACATCAACTTTTTAGTAGATTCATCCTGCAGGAGTCCAGTCAGTATCTCGATCAAATCTAAGTGAGAGCAGAAAACATTTGGAGGTTATACTACTCTATATTAGCAAAATATGAAGGTGAATGAAACAGATTACTTGGAAATGTTCACTCGTGAATAACTTATTCTATTGGAAACATATCTTCAAATATTACACAATGCAATGGTTAGATCTATTACAATTTGCGATCGAAGAACTGAACTGGCATCACTTATCCAGTTGTTTTTCAAAGAATTAGAACTAGTGACCAGTCCTTTTTTTTTGACAATAGGAACAACTACTGAATAGAATTGCTACATAGAGTACTGAAGGAGTACAACTTTTTGTACCCAACTCCGATCAATACGTTGCAATACTCTAACACATGAGTGATGGTTTAACATAACGACCAATCAACTATGTGACCAAGGATATTGTTATTAAATAGCAGCATTAAAAAAAACAATTGCACTGTTAAAAATAAATTCTGTGGTTCCACAAATCATTACTTTTTACACATGTACTAAGATACGGTTATCCGACTCATGGGTTATAGTACTCTATTGTAACATTACCATTATGAGTAGACATAGTTCATTTGAAAAAGAACCAGTTACTGGAATCGATTTATAGAACTGTGAGCTGTCAATCGAATGTATATTAATTTGTTAACGATGATAAGAGTTCATGAAACCTAAACGGATTAATCCATGTATGTAGTTCTTTTTCTGAAATTTTGTTCAGATAAAATATTTCTAATCATTAGAGAGTTCTACAAAATTTAACTTCAATTCCATTATTTAAAATAGTTCTCCGTAACTTTAATATTTCTTTGATATCCTTTAAAAATAAACTCTGCCTCCTTATTACCTCATTCATTAAGGTCTTTCCTTCGACCTCAAACATCGATTTCGTGTCAGATATATTCAAATCATTTTGAATTTTTGGAATATGTCAGGACTAATGTGAAAAGGCTTTGATAAAATTTTCAGCTCTATATCATAACATTTAAGGGAGATATTCACGAAACAAGGGTCTAAAATAGCCAATTTGATAAATAAGAATGCTCTGTGTATCCTCATTTTATATATTTAATTTTCTTTTGTTTGAAATCGCATATTACAATGCAGGACCTAACAGTGCTCTTTTGTTCAAAATTTATTCTATGTGGAAGAAAAGGGCAACAAGTTTGATACATAAAAAAACTCTCTCAACCTGATGATCTATTTATAGAAGTATTTGAATATATAATTAAAAACAAAGCTTAATCAGAAAAAGAGAAACTCTGTTAAGTTCTTTCAAGCAAAAAGAAAATTAAATATATAATTAGTATGAACTTCCTGTGAAAAATGTGGATTGCGCCATTAAAAAAAGTATATTTTTCAAGCGAAAAGTAACGGATAGCATTGAAAACTATGTGAAAAAAAATGGCATTTCAAATGAAAAGTCATATTATTTATGAAAGATTCAAATTCAAGTTATCGTCGTATGTATTTATCTTAATTTCAGTTATCTAATAAAAGAAGACTTTTTCTAAGGAGAGGCTCAAGTAAATCTAAATGTTAAAATTGAAATAACATACTTAAAAGTTGTTCAAATGGTTTAAATGGTGTTCCTAGTTGAAATGTAATTTTTAAATCTTTAAAATTTTTTAAATCAGATAAATATGGTGCATAATGATCTGAATAAAACCATGACCATGATGGACAACCTTGATAATAATATTTTAATATCCATTGTAATGCTATAATATATTGTTCAACATAAACTTTAAGTTGATCAGATGATGTTAAATTAATCTGCATTTTATCTCGATAATAATGATTTTTATGTTGACGAAATTCAGCTTCAATTAATGGCATATTTTCAAGTTCATCTTCATTTTTTATTTCAGATATTGTTGAAGAAGATTTATCACTAAGTGTATCAGAATCTGATGAAAGATCGTCGTCATCCTCTGATACTGATGATGATGATGATAAAGATAAATCAACTGATTTTGATTCATTAGAACTACTTTGATCAAGACTTTCATTATTATTAGAATCTTCCTTTTGACTTGTTGTTGATGTTGTAGGTATTAATTTGTCTAATAGTGCAAAATTAAAATCATTATCATTACCATTATCTTTATCTTTATTCAGTTCAGAATTATTTTTTGATAAATTTTTATTACGTCCAGTTAATTTAGCTAAATGTTTAAATGTATCATTTTCATTTGCATATCGTTGATGATCAAATTTTGCTAATTCGGTTAAATAAATTTCAAAACGTGTTAAATTTAATTCACCAGATTCATTCATATAACCTTAGAAAAATAAAAGAAACGAATTCTAATTTTAATCTATAAAATTTAACTAACCATCCAAAGTTGGTAAAACTTTTTTATATGTATCCCATAGAATTGATAAAGCTTCTTCGTTAATATGAAAATGTGGTAAATGTGGAATAAAATCATTTCCAACTAAATAACCCATAAGTATCCAATCATCAACAATACTTTCAAGATCATATGGAAATTTTATTTTATCCTTAAAATAAAAATAATTTTCTTAATATAAATAAAAAATTTGAATTAATTTACTTTTATCGAACGAAATTCAAGATCGATATAATCACGTAATAAACATGTATGAAGTATTTGCCAAGTAATTTCTTCAGGTGCAGGACTAATTAATAACGAATGAATGTTAATGAAAAAAAAACAATAAATTTGATAACAAATATTCTTACATTTTTGATATTTTCTTTGAACCATACTTAACTTCTTCACGTAAAAGTGCAAAATGCATTTCATGTGTGACTAAACCAAGCATAATCTAAAGAATAGATAACAGAATTAATTCTATTCAAATCATTTACATGAGTAACCTGTTTATAGCATATAATGAATCAAACAACTTTTTTTTTTTTTTCTAACAATTACTGCTATTACGAATGCTAATGGTATCATCATTTATTAATTAAGCTATGGAAATAATTAGTCAACTGAGGAAATGAAAAGCTCAACAAATGAAAGATTGTTATTATATACTGTAGCTATTATGAGTAAAATTTCTAATGCATAGATTTCTTCAAAAACTTATACAGTACTACTCAAAATCATAAAAACTATCAGATGTACTATATCTCATGACTGGATAATTGGACTATGTGGAGACGTTTTATAAAAAGAAGACCGAGCGCAGTACTTTTCAGATCCTAGAAGGCATTGTAGAAGTTCGTTTTTAAGAGTACTATATGAAAGAGCAAAAGAGATTGAATGATACGAGTGGTCGCCACGTTTTTTACCGCCTTACCTTACAAAGTTACAAGCGTCACGAAATTTATCAACACATCACTGACAAAAGTATTTTTTTTATGCTTGTAACGTTTTAAAAGAAGGTGGTAAAAAATGCAACGGCCACTCATATTATTCAGAATCTTTCGCTCTTCCAGATAGTACTCTTAAAAACAAATTTCTACACTTCCTACTCAAATCGCCATTTGAACTTAATGCAAGTATTACTGAAAAAATCAAAAATACTTTGTTCTTATAATTTTGAGCAGTACTAGAGATACGTATTGCGCTTAGAAAAACGCATCGAATGCGGTGTGGTCGTATCTAATGATAACTGAATTTTTTTTTTTGCTGATGCTTTTCTCATATTTGTTGCTCTATAATATTTCTTAAAAATATTACTTCATTCCTGAACACTTATCTCAGAAGAATAACATGAGATTGAAAATACCAAGACAGAATATTTAGTTAGGCAAGATGTAACCGGATAAATATATATATATATATATACTTATATGGTGTTTATCTTCGTCTTAACTTATTTTTTAGGTAAATTTGCGCACGTTTAAGTATAAGGTGAATTTAAATATTATACTTATCACAATGAAATTCACTAAGTTTCATATGATGTCTTCTACAAGTATCCCTAGAAACTCAATTAAGTATCAGCACAGAAGATATATGAGATATTGCACGAACATACCCAATCACAGCTACATCCAATATCTCCTATATTAATACTTAATTAAATTTTCGAGGAAATCCCGAAAAAAAAAACCATGTAATTCTAAGTTTTAAGTTAGGCCGATTTACTATCAAGATTATTTTCTAATTACGATTTAATTTATAAATTTCATAAATGAATATGAAATGGAGTTTTTAAACAAACAGTATCTCAAAAAAATGATTCTATCAATGATTAAATTCATTCTCTTATTGTTAAAAATTCCTAGCCATAGATTTTAACAGCAAGTATCATTAAGTCGCGACCGCTTCCGTGCACATCTCTGAGTAGTACTGCATATTATGTGATGGATTAGTTTATATTTTATTTTCATTTTTAATAGTCTAATATACAAAAACAAAAGCAATAAAAAATATTTGCTCACCAAATCTGCATCAAGTCCATATAAACAATGTCTTGTATTGATATCATACTCCGGTTGTGAACGTGTATATCGAATATATTCCATAATTTTATGTTCACCTTCACCCGGTGTCTAATACAAACACAATAAATTTAAATTAAAATCTTTTCAAATGTGCCTACTAAATGGCCAGATAGATGAACATCTACATTTTCCCATAGTGGATCTGTAGTAAGTTTTACATGTATAAAATATTTTAATTGTTCATTAAGTTGAGCCATGAATGGTGTTCCTTAATATGAATAAATAGAAAAAATGTGAAAAAGAAAAGTCAAGATGTTTTTATATAATAATATACCAGGCGTAATTGAATTTGTATCAAAATTTTTAGCAATTATTTCATCTAATGGTTGACCAGATTCGTTTGCAATTGTTTCTAATTTCTTAATTCGTTCTCGACCAGCACGAAAACGTCTTGCACGTTGTTGATTCATTTTTGCTCGTGGTGCAACACCATCAACAGCCATAAAAAATACTTTTTTTGGTTTTATCATTCGAAATAAAAACTTAAAATTTCAAAAAATATATCTTTTTAATCTTTTTTTTAATTATAATAATGACTTACATCAATATAATGAAAAATATTTCGAAAAATTTCTTCTTCTGTTACATTTATTTCACAATTATCTTCATTTATATGTGAACATGCATGAATTATTCCATTCATATCCAAATAAAAATTATCAAAATCAGGTATCTTTTCAAAAAACAAAGATAATAAATATTCCATAGAAACAAATATATATATATATATATATAGAATTATAGATACCTGATTATCATTAATCACTCGACTTATATTTGGATATCTTTCTGATATCCAACGATAAAATTTTGGTACACCCATTATATATTTAGATTTTCAAATTTTGTGTACGTAATAAAAGACTTTTATGTTTTAAATATAGACATCTGAAATAAGATGTGGGTAAAAACTTTTAAACACTATAAATGATATTGCAAAAGATATTGATTTTATGACACATGATACAAAATTGAATAAATTTCATAAATATAGAATTTATTTATTTTTATATTTCATACATCCATTCATCTATCGAGATGATAGTCTTTGTTTTATCGAATATTATAACCAATCCAATTTGAAAATATTCACAGCGCTCTCTATTCTATTAAACCAATAAGAAAAGAAAATATTGTTTCATGCGGTTTATAATAAGACACATGAGAATAATTTTTGAACGAAATGAATATCTTACTTATCATATTATTAATTAATTTAATTAATGCTCAACTTAATTTATATCTTGATTCAGTTTCTGTTGAACAATTATTTGGTATTTTTTAAATTTGAATATTTTATATATCATATTCAGAGTTCTTTTTTTTTTGTGTGTAATATTTAGAATTAAAAGAACATCGATTATATTTTATTAATGAAAATCGTATTCGACAATCCGCATTTGAATCTTCTTTATCGGTATCTGCTAATATTCATTTTGTTGAATTTACTTGGAATGAAGATAGATTTGATATTGATAAAGTATGTTATATAAAATATATTTCATAAATTGCAGATTTCGACAAAAATTAGGCTATAGTTTGACAAAGAAAGATTTTTAAGGAAATTCATTCAAAGCTCATTTTAAGGATACGCTCTCCTTTCGTAAGCCAAATTATTTTTTTGTGACTATTATATAGCCTGTAGTAATATCTATCTACTGAATATTCAAACATTGTCTTTAAGTGTTAAAAGATTCGACAAAATATGTCAAGTTAGCGAAAACTGTTCATGGGTTTGCACTTTTCTCGAACAAATATTTCATGAAAACAAACCGCAGAAACGCCCCTATTTCTACAGTCGACTAAGTCAGATCTAACTGAAACTTTTTTTCACATCTCATATACATTGTTTGGGATGGGTATTCTTTCCATTATTCTGCTAATTTTTCGCAGCTCTTATAAAAAAGTATGCGTTTTTTAGGTTAACTTCAATACTTTGACTTTTTTTGTTCAAACAACAAAAAAAACTATTCAGCTCGATCAAACATAACATCTTGGAGAAACGGAGGGGCCATTCTTCGCCATTGTGATCTCAAGATCTCATAGGAGACAGAATCCGAGAACTTTAAGTCTATGCCAACTTTTATTCTACTCGTCAAGATCTACCTATCCTTTCTTTGTTTATGTACTCATTTATCTTTTTTTTGGTTTTGATTTAAGTACTCCGTAAAATAGAGGAAATAGTCAGTAAAAAGATATACAAATGATGAGTATATTATATATACTGAGCAGTAAAGTATTCAAATTTGACCAATGAAAAATATAGATTTTATCAACAGAATTTATTTTTATCCGTATAAAATAGGGTGCGAGTTCGAATAGGTTTTCTTTTGGTTCACATTCACCCTTCAGCTTTATAAATAGTAACTTTTTTCATTGTCTGCATCATTTAGCAGATAAATACTTACTCTACATTAAGGTTCATGACGCTTGGCTTTATGACATCTATATTAAACTGTTCTCCTTATTAATAAATCATTCAATTTATTGATTTTCTAATCATTTAACTTACTATTGACTATTTTATCTATTTTACTGACCAGATATTTTGATTCTATTTTTTTATTTTACAGTCAAAGTTATACTATGAATATAATACAAGTTCGAGTGATGAACAATCTTTATTACGGCCAGTATTAAATATAATTGAAAAAGGAATTGTGCCAAAAGAAATTTCGAGTAAGAATAAAATTGATTTGAATGGAAAAAAATTTTTATTTCTACTGTCTTTTTTTGGATGATTATAGCATTTAGTATATTGTTTCCTTGTTTAACAACAAATCGAATTAATTGTTCAGTATTATTTCGATTGTATAATTCAACAACAAATCATACAACAATGATTATAAATTTAAAATTTTTGAAATATTGTCGAATTGAAACAACAATTAATCAATCTGTACTTTCACAATTTTATAATTCAAATCAAATTATGGATTATCTACTTATTAAAGAATGTAAGTTTATACAAAAAAAAAACAAATTCTATTGAAATTTTTTTTCTGATTCTTATTCAGCTCGACATCGAGATTTTACATCGATAACAATAACAACTATATTTACTTATTCATTAATTATTGCTTTTGTTGTTTTTTTAATTGTATTTTGTACAGCTATAAGTTTATTTTGTCTTTATCGATTGACAACAACAAATAAGACAATATCAAATGAGTAAGTATTTTTATTCGATTTAGAATATGAATGTATATATTTTGAATGAACTTTTATAGTTTAAGTCATGATAATCAAGATCATCCAGCATTACCCATGTCATTTGATATGACAACTTTTGAAGATGTTAGTCTATATTCATGTACTCAATATGATTTTACGAAAACAACTGATGAACTCTTATCTTCAGTTACTTTTGCTGATTGTACTATTGATCAAAATCGTGTTACACTACATGAAATCATTATGGAAGGTATACTGGTTTTTTTATTTGTTGATTAGTATTTCTTCAAGAATGATCATATTGGTCATTTCATGAACGATAAACTATTTAAAAAATTAATTTTCGAGAGAAAAAAGTCGTGTTAGTATTCTAAAAGCATGGTCACGATGAGAATTTTGAGAAAATAATAAGGAATATAATGATTTTTAAGTGGAATCAAATAATATTTATTCATATATAGATCTGAAAAAAGTTTATTCATTATTCTTTATTAGCTTTGAAAGTCTCGTTTTTTACATATTGTTTGAAACTAAATATTGTCTTTTACTTATTTGCTCAGAGGAGTTGTCAGTAAATTGAGGAAAAACTAAATGGTACATTCTGTAGACAGCTTCTAATATTACAAACACTATCGAAAGTTTTTTCTGAGCATGCTTAGATTTACTTTCTCTTAGCGATGTGACAGAGTGTGAATATACAAATGAAAAAAGGCTTTTATAACCAAATAAGAAGTTCAAAGCCAATTCGAAACAGTACAAATCTTTCATTAGAATCCCTAGATGATGATAAGATAAAAATTTTTTGTTTCAGGACTTGATAAGGTCTCTAGAATACCGGTTTCTTTTGAAGTCCGATCTTGCTGAAAATTTCAAAATAGATGCAGTTCGTGTTGGAGAGTCTATCCTAAAATTTTCGAATTTTATTCTCATATGATTAGAGAGATATCTGCTAATTACTTCTTAATAGTTAGTTGAAAGGGTCAACATGTTTACACTTGTAAAGAATTAAAGTCAAATGTAAGATGAGTCGGTCCAATTTTGTCCAAAATAGCCCGTATATATTACTACGAAATGATATGCTGATGAGACTTTGCTGTCCATTAGAGTATGCATGAAAACACTTGAAGATATTCATTTTTGCACATAAGATCTACATCAAATTGTATAAACTATGTCATACGGAAAGCGTAAGCATTGATTGTAAAACTCTTGTTTGTCTCACCTTCTATTTGTTCTTTAGTTTCTTTTACAGTAAAAAGACAAGGGTCGTTTTTTATATGATTTGAAGTGGATCATGACTTATAAAATTTTATAAATGGATTAGTTTGTATGGTTCACAAATGCAATGTATTTTTCGTCTATATATAAGTTTATAAAAAATTTCGACTTGTTGACTTAATCGAAAAATTCAGAAAAAACATTTCTCTAAATGAAACACATATTAACTATCTTTTTTATGTTTTCATTAGGTAGATTTGGTCGTTTGTTGCATTGTTCTCTTAATGATTCATCAACAAATATTTCAACACAAAATATCTATGGTAAAACTGTAAATTCATCTGCAACATCAACACAACTCAATCAAATGTTACATGATTGTTGTTTATTTGCTACATTAAAACACTCGACTATAAATAGTCCATTAGGGATTATCTACAAGAATGAATTATCACCATATCCATTAATTATATATCCATATAGTAATAAAGGAATTCTTAAACGATTTATTATTCAAAATCGAACAAGTCCTCGAGAACAAGTGAGTATTTAATAAAAAGAAAAGAAAATATTAGTAACATTCTATCTTTGTTTTCGTTACAGTTATTATCAACACAAGAATTGGTCTATATGGCTATACATATAGCCAAAGGTTTACATTTTCTTCATAGACGTAAAATGTTAATGAAAGATATAGGTACACGAAATTGTTTGTAAGTATTTGAAAATCTTATATTTTTCGTTTAATTTTTGTCCGATTTTGGTACAATACTATTACTTTGTACATCAAGAGAAGTATTCGATATTGATGGATCTGCAGGAAATTCGTCAAATGGTCGGGCCATTGAAATAGTATTTGATGTTATTGAGTTTGACTGATTAATTTGACGCTTGCGAATTGCTGCAGAAGAATTAATTGCATTGACAGGATTAATTTGAAAAAGACGTTCAAATAGAGAATGTCCATTTGTAGTTTTTGTTGTGAATACAACAGGAGTTGGAACATCAACATCATCGAATGAGAAACATGCTATTGTTTTTTTTAGAAAAAAAAAAAGAAAGATAAAATTAATAATTATGTCTTGAGAATTGTCTGCTATGGGTATATATACATATGATACATACGTGTTTCATATGCTTGATTAGGTATCATGCCATTGAATAGCCAATACGTATGGGTAGCATTTGGCTCGGTTATATTTGACGATTCAATTGGAATTTTATCATCTCGAATAACATGAGCATAGGGAATAGTTAATATTGTTTGATAGCTAAGAGGCTTGATACCACTTCGTAAAAGTGATTGTTTCTCATGGTTTAGGCTGAAAAGAGTAGAACAATATAAACGAAAAAAAGGCAAGTGCAAACACCACAGTTGGTGCGTAGAAGTTTAAAACGCCTACGTATCGATGTTTGATGTTGTCGAACGTT